CTCATCTTTCCCCCTTACCCTCTCTCCTATCCCTCTCTTCCCATCTTTCTTCTCTCCTCTGTTTCCCACCCTTCCTCTCATTGGTGTATTTCCGCTTCTGAGCAAACTCTATTCTATATTGATGGTATCCAATCTCTTCTTAAAGACTTCCAGTGTTGGGGCATTCACAACTTCTAAAGGCAACTTCTGTTCCACTGATTAATTGTTCTCACTGTCAGGAAATTTCTCCTCAGTTCTAAGTTGCTTCTCTCCTTGATTAGTTTCCACCCATGGCTTCTTGTTCTATCTTTGGAGTCTTTGGAGAATAAATTGACTTCCTCTTTTTTGGCAGCCCTGAGATATTGGGACACTGCTATCATGTCTCCCTTAGTCCTTCTTTTCTTTAAACTAGACATATCCAAGTTTCTGATGTTTTTGGTGGTGGCAGTTTTCTCTGTATAAAATAAACCTCACGTACAGCATCCAGAGAACCACAGATGTGGGGCTGCTTGGAAACAGAGTCAATAAACAAATCCACGCGGTCTGTTCATCATGCTAGGTAAGTACAGGTTCTGTGTGGAGGCTCTGGGTGGGCAAAAAAACGGCCTACTGGAAGTTCCGGGAATCGGTTTCCGGCCTCCAGAGCCCAGGGGAGGCCGTTTCGCCCTCCCGGAGGCTTGAGGAAAGCCTCTGGAGCCTGAAGTGTGCAAAAAACAGGCCTACTGGAATCTCCAGAAACAGGCCTGTTTCTGGCCTCCGGAGTGCAGGGGAAGACATTTTCACCCTCCCAGAGGCTCAAGGATAGTTTCTGCAGCCTGGGGAGGGCAAAAATGCCCCCCACCTCTGTGAGGAGGCCAAGTAGGCCACGTCCCCCAGCAACTGTGGAGGTTGCTAAAATTTTTCAATCCCACTCCTGATGGAAATGTACACCATTTTAATTCCTTTCTATTCCAAAGAAGACAATCCACCAAAACAGTGCTGGGTTCAGAGTTCAGAAGAACACACTGCCATCAAGCACCAGGGTTAAATGGGCATCTCTTCCCGTTTTTACATCAACCCCCCCCCCCTTCCCAATCTCTCGGCAATCACATAGTCAGGGTAGTTCTGGGTGCAATTCAAGCTGCTGGTTATCACCTTTACAGCCCTGCAAGGTAGTACTTGTGGCGCACTCCGGGTGCATTCTGTTAAAACAACATTGTCTTCTGAAACTAGAAGATGTGTCTTCTTTCTTTGGCATTCATCTATGGATCCGTCTCAGAAATGGGGACTTCAACTCCCAGAATCCCTCAGTCACCATACTGGCTGGGGAATTCTGGGAATTGAAGTCCAGACATTGTTATGTTGTTACGGTTGAGAAACATTAGGTTATATAGTGTTTCCATTATTACATGACTATTTTCATTCTGTTTTTCTGTTTTGTCTATAGAGATTTTATTGTTTTCTTGCTGACCGTTGCCTAGAATTACCTAAGATAGATAGCCACGTACACGTTCTAAATAAATAAAATGAATAAATGTCAATAGTCCGAGGTCATTTATTCCACCTTGTCTACCATAAAGCTGTGGGAAGGATTGTCCAGCTACAGATGGAAAGCACCTGGGTGTGCCTCCCTTTCCTTCCTTGTTTCTCTTTTCTTTTTAATGTTTATACAACTTTATTAAACATCTAATCATCTAATCATCATAAAACCTCAAGTTGATGGCATGCATTTTATGCATCAGAGTAGTGAAAAGGAATAAATATCTATATATTCTTGTTTCTCTTTTTTTTCTGCAGCGATATTAATGTTTATACAACTTGGTTAAATATCTAATCCTAATTGCCATAATAATAAGTAAATAAAACCTCAAGTTGATGACATGCACTTTATGCATCAGAGTAATGAAAGGGAATAGTACAATATATTCTTTTGACATTCATTAAAAAAAACACTGTTCTCTCGTCTTATTTATTTGTAATCTTCCTTATTTTTTAATGGTTATTTAAGATATGTTTTTATTGTTTTATTGTAAGCCATTAAGAAATGGGAGATTAAATAAATTAAATACCAGGCTTTAAGAATAACACGCCCTAATGAATTTTGTGGCTCTTCATTAAATACAAGCGCACCCTTTTTTCTCTTAAAAACGACCAAACTCTTCCAAGGTTGTCAAATCCCTCTGTTCTAGGGTGAAACCTGAAGAAGGAACTGCTGAAAGTGTGCAATATCTGGGGAGCTCAGGGCGGAGAGCCTTCCATCCCACAAAATACCTGTCAAGCAGGTATCTGAACCAAGACTCCCCAAGCCAGCAAAAGCAGCCCCGACCCTCCACTCACCAGAGGCTCCAATTCCTTGTTGTCTATGAGATTGAACTGTTTTACAAAATAGTAGAAGTGCTTGTAGCATGTATTCACGTGGGCTTCCGAGCCCATTTGGGCGATACGATCAAAGTGGTGGATGTAGACGTGGACAAAGACGCGGAAGAGACGGGAGAGGATCTTTTTCACCACCTGGAGGAAGTTCTTAGGAAATGGAGTACCTGTGGAAGAGCACGACAATTAACCTTCTTCCCTCTATCCTTTTCTTCTTCCCTGCCTTCCCTNGTTCGGTGGAAGTCCATCTTAAGGTGCTCCTGGTGAAAACCGCATGTGAAAAGAAGGCCGGTTGGCTGATCTATAAAAGGTTCCAGGAATGTGAGAAACTTCCAGGGAATCAGGAGGTGAGATTGGATGGCCAAAGTCCGGTTATCTATTTGGGGTTTATTTGAACAAACCTGCCTTGTCTGAGCTCAGCAGCCACCTCTGCAAAAGGACGTTTTAATGATTTTCATAGATGGCTTCAATTCAAAACATTAGGGGTGACACATTAGCCGTGTTTGCTATTTGAGGGGCTGCTCCAAAGAAAACGGGGGTCAATCTATTTTCCAAAGCACCTGAAGGCAGGATAAGAATCAATGGATGGGAACACCTGAAATAGTAGCACTGCTTTATAATACCTTGATAAGGCCGCCCTTGGAATATCACAGCCAGTTTTGGTCGCCACAATATTAAAAAAAGATGTTGAGACTCTGGAAAAAGGGCAGAGAAGAGCAACAAGGAGGATTAGGGAGCTGGAGACAAAAAGACATAAAGAAGGGTTGCAGGAATTCATTGGGACTAGGAGAGACAGGATAGCAATATTCCAATATTGGGGCGTCACCTTATTCTCCAAAGCAGCAGAAGGCCAGGCGAGAAACAATGGATGGAAACTTATGATGTGGCACGACATAACCGCGGTAGACTAAAGCGCGCCGACAACACCGCGGCGCTAAAACCGCGCTGTCAAAAGCGCGCCCACAACAGCGCGCCTACAGAAGCGCGATTTAACTTAAGGTAAGGTTTAGGGAAGGTTTAGGTAGGTTTAGCGTTAGGTTTAGCATTAGGTTTAGGGTTAGGTTTAGGGTTATTTTTAGGGTTATGTTACAGCGCGCTTCTATCGGCGTGCTGTTGTTGGCGCGCTGTTGTTGTCGCGCTGTTGTCGCGCGGTTTTGACGGTGCGGTTTTGTAACCGTGCTTTAGTCACACGCGCTTTAGTCAACCGCAGTTTTGTGGTGGAACCAATTCTTTAACCCACTTAGAGAGAGCTGTGAAGCAGCGTGAAGTGGTATATAAGTCTAACCGCTCTTGCTATTGTTTCCAGAACAATCCCGAGTCCTTTGGCTGCTCCAACAAGGCTGCCCCCCCCAAATCCTCCCCCACCTGCAAACACACACCTGATACCGCGCCTTCAGAAAGAGAAGCATCTTGAAATTGTTGGCGCTGTCACTTCTGTCCTTGTTGTATTGCTGCACGGCGACTTCGAGGGCTTTCTGCACATCATGATCAGTGAAAGGTTTGTCGTCAAGCTACCCGGGCAGCTCCGGGGANAGTTTTGGTCCCAGCAGGCTCCAGGAAGGCTAGGCCCAAAATGGGGCTCACGGGGGGGGGGAACCCCCCAGTTTTGGTCCCTGGAGGCTGCAGGGGGGGAGTGTCACACACACATGCACAGGGGAGAGCGGTAGGCACGCACACATCGCACTATGGGTGTGGGTACACATGCACCCGCTTTCAGCACGCGAGGACCAAAAGGTTAGCCATCACTACACTAGTTGCTCTCTCCGGATTTAGGCAAGCCACCCCCCACCCTCGTTCCGGCCAAGAAGGAAAGGCCCCCAAGAAGGCACGGAGAAAAATAGTGTGTGTGACTAGCATCGTCTGGGCTAAACCTTTTTATGATTCTTTTTAAAGAAATCAATCATAAAATTTAAGAACATTCGTATGGCCGCCCAACACGTTCAGGGTAACTCCAATCGAGCAACCTTTCTGTTGCTCAGCGAGACAGTTCTTCAGTGAGTCGTGTCTCATTTTATGACCTTGCTTGGCACAGTTGTTAAATGAAACACTGAAGTTGAATTAGTCACAGGTTGGTTTATGGAGAATTTCCATCCTACAGGCCAGGGTTGTCCCAAAGCTGCTTTTTTTTCCCCAAGAGGCAGCTGGACTTTCTGGTTTTTCTTTGAAGACGTTTCGCTTCTCATCCAAGAAGCTTCTTCGGCTCTGAAAGGAAGGATTTATACTCCTTGCAGACAGCTGGTCAATTGCGTCCTTTGAGAGAGTCATTGAGGCCACTTGAAGCTTCTTCGGCTGATTGGATGGTGGGGAATGGAAGGGTTTATACTCCTTGCAGACAGCTGGTCATTTGCATCCTTTGAGAGGGCTGTTAAGGTCACCTGGAGGTTTACCTGTGTCCTGGGGGTCACCTGAGTGCTGCAAATGGGTGTGGAGCCTTCCTGGAGCTGCTATCTCCAATCTACAACACAGCCCTTTCAATAGTTGCAGGAAGGTTCCACACCCAGTTGCAGCACTCAGGTGAACCTGAGGACACAGAAAAACCTTCAGGTGACCTTAACAGCCCTCTCAAAGGATGCAGATGACCAGCAAGGAGTATAAATCCTTCCATTCCCCACCATCCAGTCAGAGCGGAAGAAGCTTCTTGGAGGAGAAGCGAAACGCCCTCAAAGCAAAACCAGAAAGCCCAGTTGCCTCTTCAAAAAAAAAAGCACCTTTAGGATGGTCACATGGTTCTTAAGTGAACCTGGCTTCCCCATGCTGTGCTTGTCAGAAAGTCACAAAAAGGGATCACATGACCCCAGGACACTGCAACTGTCATAAATACATGCCAGTTGCCAAGCATCTGAATTGTGATCATGTGACCACAGGGATACTGCAACATCGTAAAAGGGGGGGTATGGCCATAAATCACTTTTTTCAGTGCTGACTTAACTTTGAACTAAACACATTGTTGTAACTCAAGGATTACCTGTAAAGCGATTTGGACTAGGAATCTTCCCTGAACCACCAACTGTTAAGTAAATTGATTTGCAATTTGAGATTTCAGGCAGGGGTGGGCTGCCTGAATGTTATGGCCGGTTTGGAGAACCTCCAAATTCCACCTCTGGCTGGCCACGCCCATCCCACTCCATCTCTCCCCTCCTAGGAGTCTCCATGCGGGCCGTTTTGGAAGCGAGGTAAGTGCAGGGCCCGCACGGAGGTTCAGGGAGGGGGGAAAATGGGTCTTCCGGAAACGCCTCTGGAGCCTGGGGGAGGCAGTTTTCGCCCTCCCAGGGGCTCGAGGAAAGCCTCCGGAGCCTGGGGAAGATAAAAACACCCTCCCATCCCTGCCATGGTACAGGAGGCTGACTAGGCCACGCCCACCACGGCCACCCCCACCCAGCAACTAGGCTTTCTGCATTAGGAACAGGTTCCAGATTCTTTTACTGCCTGTTTGCTCAGATGCACACATGCACAGTAGTGAAAAAATTGATTCTGCATATGCACAGAAGCAAAAAAACAAAAACAAGATGGCAGCACCCAGAACGCCGCCGATAGCACCTGTTCTGAGGCATGGGTGGCCGAGTTACTATCTACTCAGCCCAACCAGTCCAAACTGGTAGAAATCCACCTCCGATTAGGAACCATGTCTAACTAGGATTGCTAGGGAATACGATCAAGTGAGCCAAGAGCAGAGACTTTTTTTTTCAGACCCAGAAGTTAATTTTCCATCAGAAAGGATCAATATTCCCAGAAATATAGACAAAATCTGCCATATGAATGGATTCCTAATGCAGCAGATTGTCCTCTAAGGTAGTGGTCCCCAACCTTTATGGGCCTGGGGAGGGGATGGTTGCTCGTGCACAACCTAATATAATGAAGATAATGAAACCTAATGAAGGACGGTTGCAGGAACTGGGCATGGCTAGTCTAGTGAAGAGAAGGACCAGGGGAGACAGGATAGCAGTCTTCCGGTATTGGAGGGACTTTCACAGAGAGGAGGGGGCCCAGCTATTCTCCAAACCACCAGAAGGCCAGACAAGGAACAATGGATGGAAACTGACCAAGGAGAGATTCAATCTGGAAATAAGGAAAAAAATTTCTGACAGTGAGAAGAATCAACCAATGGCACAGAAGTTGCCTTCGGAGGTTGTGGGAGCTTCATCACTGGAGGCTTTCAAGAAGAGACTGGATTGCCATCTGTCAGAAATGGCGTAGGGCAGTGATGGCTAACCTTTTTCCCGTCACGTGACAAAAGGAGGGGGAGCGCATGGGGGAATTGTGCGCAGGCCCACACGCATAATTCTATGCACACGAGAAAAGCGGCCCAACGTACAAACCGGAAGTCCGCTCCCGAACTTCCGGTTTGCGCGTTGTGTTGTTTTTCGCCCTCCGGAGGCTTCAGGGAATCCTCCGGGAGGCAAAAAAAATGACCAAAAATGAAGTCAGCTGGCTGGAGTGACAGGGCGCCTCGCGTGCCCTAACAAATGGCTCCATGTGCCACGCGTGCCATAGGTTCGCCATCACAGGCGTAGGGTCTCCTGCTCGGGCGGGGAGGTTGGACTAGATGACCTACAAGGTCCCTTCCCAACTCTGTTAAATTTGTAAATCCCAACACATGAGCAAATAAAGCTTTGCACGCTCACCTACCACTTGCACGGCCAAAATTCACTTAACAACTGGTGCCGGTCCAGGGATAGGCAACTATGGCCCCTTTATGACCTGTGGACATCAACTCCCAGAATTCCTGAGCCAGCTGGGACCACAGTTGCCCAGCCCTGCTCTTAGGCAGCAGTTCACAAAACATTTGGGTCTCAGAANACCGGTCCAAGGCTCAGGTGCCTCCTGGTGGCCAACCATCCTCTCTGCGCCCTGCTCAGAGTCGGAATCCTGTCCAGGGTCCTCCACATCCTCCAGAGCTAACTCATAGGGCCCCTCGCTGTTGGAGTCTGGTGGCAGCTCCAACGGCTCCTGCTGGGCCACAATAGGTTGGTAAGCAAGAATTACTTGTGAACTAGTTGCAGCGTTATTCTTTGACAAGTGTGATGAGTTTTGGAGCACCCACAAATTGCACACCTGAACTTTCAGGGGAAATGCAGTCTCATGAAATCAGGTACACTCTTGAATTCTCACATTTTGGAATAATCTGTGCCCAACATCTCTGTTCTTCCAGGAACCGCTTTGCTTATCTG